TCTCTCTTTCTTTTTCTTCCTCTGCTTCTTTTTTCTCTCTTTGGCTTGGAATTTTCACTTCAGCCGTTGAGCAGCCTAAAATCACGCACACACATACACATCATTACAAACATATACAATTTATAAATATTTATAAGCACTTTTACAGCTACATATTTTTTGAATTTTTCGCAAAAAATTAATTGCGCGCACGCATTTGCCAACTATTCGCGAAGCACAGTAACAGCAGCAATAGCAACAGCAACAACATGCGGAGTAACACAAAACATAGAAAGAGAAGAAAAGTAGCAAAGGAAAACTGTGAATCATTCACTGGGCGAACTTTGCAGTGGGCGGCAACAGGGGGTTGGCTTTGCCGTGGAATTGTGCTTGGCACAATAACAGAATAACAGACTAACAGAAGCGAAGCAGCACAGAGCTGAGCAGTGTAGAGCAGAGCAGAGCAGAGCAGCGCAGTGCACTGCAACAGCAGCTACGCAGCGGCAGAGGTGGCAATGATTTTTAGTGGCTTGTCGCAGCATCAGCTGTTGCAAATAGGGGTCAGAATAGACACAGAAAGGCACTTTTTGATTAACTGACGTTAGTTTTTGGATTATTAATGCACAATATTTGGCGTGGCAGTTTCGCTTTTTTGCAATTTTCCACTTTTCCGCGATTGCAGGCAGTAATAAATGAAAACATTTTTTTTTGCCTTGCTTGTTGTTGCTGTTGCGCTCGCCGTTGTTTCTCTCTCTTTTATGCGCGATACTCCGTCGAACTGGTAGACACTGTTATGCTCTTCGCTCTCATTGGCGACTAGGCGTATGATGACGACGGCGACGGCGACTGCGGCAGCGACGCCAACGTTGACGTCAGTTTGCGAGCAGCAACGAAGTGATGACCGAAAAATGTCGCTATGTGTGCGTGGTAAACGCACATTCTGCTTATATTTAACATTGCTTTACCGCCTGGATTCATACAAATGCATTTTACACGCTACGCGCTCGGTTCGCATTCAATTTAACACTTTCTATTTAATTACAAATGCACTAAGATCGAATAACAACTAGCTGCTGCTCTTCCAAAATTTTCTCTGAATGCAAGTGTTTGACAGCGTCGATAGATGGCGTTTATTAACACTAGCAGCAATAGATTGTAGTCCAATCGACCAGCCACCACAATTTATCAAACCATCAGCAACGCTATTCTTAAATTGAATCTCTGGTTAGTGATTGAATCAAATGAATCATTCAAATAATGTAATATACAAAAAAACCCAAGTAATTATAAAAAGTTTTAACATTTAATACATTTCTTATTTTTAAATAAATACATTTTATTGTATGTCTAATTTTTATTTAATAATATTATTTTATGAAGCATTTCATGATTATGACCTGGGTCACTTAATAAATTTCGCGCTTTATCAAATATTTCTTGACATGCTACACTGGAGGCAGGTGTGCCCAGAATTCTGCAACTTATGCGGTATAACAGTGGAAAATTATCTTTGTTGGCGTGCCACCAGCGTAAAACATTGTATCCTTCTAGAGGCACTTGAAGATCGGAATATCTTCGAATCTCTCTCATAATTCGATCTGGGTTTGTGGGCAAACCAACGAAATCTGAAAACAAATCATCATCATCCAATTCTTGTTTGATGAGAATTTCCTCCTCTACGCTTTCTAAGGGACAGTATCTTTTCATTAA